AAACATTATTTAAAGTAAGTTTAAATCAACACAAAATGCTCATTCAGAAAAAGAAGTCAGTTTGCTTTTACCCACAAAGTAAGAACTGTGCTGCAGTAAGGAAATGCTGCAAAACCGCAAAATAAATTCACTCTCCATTCATCATTTTGGCAGGTGCTGGAAAGTGCACCACAGTTTTCATGCACGACTCTGCAAAGGTTTGCACAAAACAGAAATCCTGACTGTTTGATATGTTTACGCGTGGTTTGACATGTTAAATGTAAAACAGGCAAACTTTTGAATGTTTACAACTTTGGAAGAAAACCAGTTTTTTTTAGTATTTCTGATCATGTTCGGCTCCTAGACAACTTTGATCAAATTTATGTTATACATGTGATTTTGCAACAAAGACAAGTAAATTTATTTATTTGATTAAAGGTTTTACATGCTGCATAAGTGAAAACCGTGAGTCTCTATGTGCTGAGAGACGTCTGTGGGCGCATGCGTGCCCTGAGGAACTCAGCTGAAACCTGCAATGGGACAAGCTCTGTTCTGTCTGAGCCAGAAACACCCAGGACCCTCCAGCCTTATGAAATCTGTCTGTTTGTTGGCACAGTTCTGCTTTATAAACTCCAAATGTCTCCCCTAAAATTTGTCATCTATGTTCATGGGCGACTGTGACGCACAGCCCTCCCCTTCTTCCCTTCCTCCCCTCGGATGCGAGACATAAATCACAGCAGAACCAAATTAGAATCTAAAAAAAGGAACAGAGTGGGATAAATTCGGAGAGACTCTAATAACTTGGCTGTTCATTCTAGGTGGAACAGTTGAGACGGCATCCCGTTAAACCCCACTATGCCTAAGCTAATGGTTCAGATAAAAATCTCTCAGGAACCAATGGAAAATACAAGTTGCAGTTTTGTTAAAATATCTTGAAAAATGACTTTTTATTGCTATAAATAGTTTTAAGACCAATACATGTATGTGACCCTGCAGTTATGTGGTTACAATCATTAGAAAATGACAAAAAAAGTAAATTAATTTTGATTCAGAGGATGTGATTTGGATTAAACACCATCACCAATAAACCCACATCAAAATTCCATTTTTGGTTCTTTTTAAAACACAGGAAAGGTTTTTCTTTACCTTGCTGACGTTTCGTTTGCCGAATGCAAAACATCCTCAGAGCTGAGGCTGATGGTGGCGTCACTTCCTACTCCGTTTATCCGTGGGCAGCAGAGGACGCTGTCGCCCTCTGCTGCCCGCTCTCCCCTCTCCGATGATGCAGTCCCATGCACGATCCAATGTGTAGACCCCATCGTCTCTGTTCATGGTCCCACATCCACGTCTCCTTATCTCGATAGCTTCCTTTATCCATCTTTTGTATTTCTGTTGTTCGGTGTTTATGATCCTTGTGTTGTCCCAGTCCATTACATGGTTTTCTCTTGTGCAGTGATCTGTTACGGCTGACTTCTTTATTGTGCTTTCTGCTTCTTCTTTTGCTGCTCTTGTGTGTTTTCGATTTGCCTCCTTCTCGTACTCCTTTCTTTGTTCTATTGTTCGTGTGTTGAGTTGGCGTCCGGTTTCTCCTATGTATGTTTTATTGCAGAGTTTGCATGGGATTTCATAAATGACTCCACACTTAAGTCCAGCTGATATTTTGTCTTTTGGGTGTACTAGTCTGTTTCTAACTGTTGTGTATGGTTTTGTTGGTGTGTTTATGTTGTGTTTTTTCATTGTTGCTCTTATTTAATCTGTTATGCCTCTGATGTATGGTAGGGCTATCACTGGTTTTGGTTCTTGTCTTTCTGGGTTTCTGGTTCTTTTCTTTGGTTGTTTTTTCTTTCTGTTGTTGTTTGTTGTTTTCCTTTGTTTATTGCCCATGTCGAGTATCCACAGGTCTTTAAAGCGTGTTGTATTTGTTTGTCCTCTTGTTTACGGTCTCTTTCTTCTGTTACCATGTTTGCTCGGTGATATAATGTTCTGATTACTGACATTTTGTGTATGGTGGGGTGTTCTGATGTCCATAATAGATATTGGTCTGTGTGTGTTGGTTTCCTGTATGTGTTTATGTTTAGGGTCCCGTCGGTCTGCCTGGTTATTTTTAAGTCCATAAACGGAGTAGGAAGTGAGCCACCATCAGCGTCAGCTCTGAGGATGTTTTGCAGTCGGCAAACGAAACATTAGCAAGGTAAAGAAAAC